TTTTTTTTTTTTTTTTTTAATTTTTTGTTGGTTTTTTTCTAATATTCCAAATTTAAGGTTTTATTTATTTTCTGTCGAATTGTTCGGACTTCGGACGTTTATCTTTATAGGGTTTTATTCGTTTAACGACGAACAAATTAACGATTGTTCGAACGTTTATCCTATTTTATTTTTCGTGTTCCATTCTCATGTTTTTTACTTTTTTTTTTTTATGTTACTGATAAAAAATGGATGCACTTTTCAAAGCATTGTAATGTAATGTAATATGACTTGCACAAGTGAATAAACAATAATTAACCATCTCTAGCATCAAAGGGTATATCATTAGTCAATTACGAGTTCATTAAATTGTGATTTTAAGATATAAACTGTAAGTTAAAAAAAATGATTTTGAAATGTACAATGGAAAATTGTGAATTCACAATTCAAAGTCGGGGATTTTTGTTTACATAAATCGAATCAACTATTAGCTAGTCTAATTCAACCGAATAGCTAGCAAATCGAATCAACTATTAGCTAGTCTGATTCGACCGCGATTTCTCGAACCCGAGGTGTTACCACTTGCTTACTAAATTATTGCACAAATTACATTTAAATTCAAATTAAAATAAAAGTGTAAAAATCAACTTCTTTGCCACACATCTATATGAAAATATGAAAGTGTAAACTATAGAGCAAACAGGTTAATTGAACACATCAAAGTCCAACATGAGAGGCAACTAACTAACTAGCCATTTATGATGAAGATTCACTTTTTTTTTTTTTTTTTGAAACGATAGATATTATATAACTCACAACCAAAGAATACAATGTCTACAGATCGAAGACCAACTGGTCTATGAATAAGGCCATATCAGGCAATACAAATACCAAAAGGCAAAATACTAGAAGCAAAACCTGCAATGTAGAGTTTTGTGCTAGCTAATGGCAATGTCCAACCCATTGTCTCCAATAGCAAACCAAAAACTCTAACCCCAACAAAAAGAAGATCCACCACTGCACCAAAGGCCTAGAGGAGCTTCCATCAAAAGATAAAGAAACAACCAAACCACCAGAACTCTATACAACAAACAGAAAAAAAAACTAAAGCATCCAAACCCAAAAAAGAACTAATAACAGCCAAACACATCAAATCCTGGCAAACTCTCTCCAGTCTCTACCTGCTTGATCCACCAGAGATTTATCATCCATCCAAGTGTCTTTAAACATCCACAGGTTACGAGCTTTCCACAACCACCAGAGAATATAGGTAGAAAGTTGAATTCTTGCTTCTGATGTTGCAGTCTGTTGATACTACAGACACTAGACCACCAACCCTTGAAGCAGTCTGTGTGAGTACTCAGTCCCTCCCAAGATACCTGTGAAATCTTCCAGATTCTTCTTGTTGTGGGACAGTCAAAAAACATATGCTCAATAGTTTCAGGCTGCTCACCACAACTTTTGCAAAGACAGTCCACATCCATGCCCTTCTTAATAAGATTGCAGTTAACTGGCAGTGTATTTGTAAAGCACCTCCAAATAAAGTGCTTTAATTTGCCTTTAACTTTAAGCCCCCAGCTTCTGTTTCTTGTAGCTTTTAGAATTGACTTACCACTGTTGCTTTCTGCAAAATCCAAAATCCTCCATTTTTCAGCAATAAGTTTAGAGTATGTTGTTGAAACAGAAAATGCTTCATTGGTTCCACTATCCCACACAAGCCTATCAGGCTGAGATGAATTAAGCCCTTTGATATTGAGAATAGCTTGAGCTTCTGTCAAGTTGAAAATCTCTAGGATCAGTTGGGAGTTCCAATGCCTACCAGATTGATCCATCAACTCTCTTACCCAAATGAGATGCTCATTTTGTGCTGAGGGAGTAGAGGATAGTTTAAACCCAGGCAGAGTTGGTATCCAAGGAAAATCCCAAATCTTTACAGATTCTTGATTTCATACCTAGGTCCTTCCTTCAAAGAGTCTTTTACTGCAATCCAACTATTCCAAAGCCAAGATCCAGAGGTTTTCTTCTTGGCAGTGAACAAACTCTCTTGAGGAAAGTATTTGGCTTTGAGAATCTTGCTAATTAGAAGGTTGAGTCTTGTGAGTATCCTCCAAAGTTGCTTGGCAATCAATGCTCTGTTGAATAGAAGGATGTCTCTGAAGCCTAAGCCACCATTACCTTTCGGGAGAGTGTTTATTGTGTTTTTGTGTTTATTTTTGTGTGTTTTATGTGTTTTAGTTTAGTGTTTTTAGGTTCGTTTTAGTTTCGACCAGTCCATTGCTTGTTATGTTTTTGTGCTTATTTTTATGTGTTTATTTGTGTTATTGAGTCGGTTTTAGGTTCGTTTTAGTATCGTCCGGTCCATTTTGTCGTTTTCCGTGTGTTTTCGTGTTTTTTGTTTTATTTTATATTTTGGCGTACTTGTCCGTGTTATTGTTGCATTTTCAGGTGTTTTCCGAGTATGATGAGGAAGTCGAGCGAAAGTCCCGAGAATGCCGAGAAGTTCCGAGCCATTCGTACGAACAATTCCCGGTCGAGTATGTCGAGCCCAGTACTCGCGGAAGCTGTAGCCCCGCACGCCCATCGCGCGCGCTCGCGACCGCGCGGCATGTGCCACGACCACGCGAGTTCAACAACAGCACGCATGCCCGCGCGCCTCCATGTACTCGCGGAAATAAAGGCGAGGTCGAGAGTGCTGGACCACCGAAGCTCGCGTGCTAGCGCTCACCCCCGCGACGTCGAGAGTGCACATCCCAGCGCACGCCCGCAAGCCGCGACCTCGCGGAAGACCGAGCGAGGTCGAGAGTTCACTACCCTATGCCCGCACACCCGCGCAGCCAAGCCGCGCACTCGCGAAAGAGGCACGACGTCAAGAGTGTGCATCCGTGCGTGCCCACGCCTACACATAGCCTGTGAGCTCGCGAAAATGATGGAGACCTCGAGAGTATTTTAGTAAATGTGCGTGTTTTAGTGTGTGTTTGTAGTGTAGCTATATATAGACATCTTGCTTTGTATTTTTGGGAACAACCCTCATTTCCCAACTTTTAAGTTGGAAATTCCTCTCTATTTTCTCTTTTCCTTTTTTTATGTTTTGGTTTGGAGCTTATGAATCAAGTTTTCCGGCGAATTTCCGGCGACATTGTTTCTAGTAAAGTTTCAAGCTTTTGACTCCGTTATTTCTTCCAAGTGCGTGTAAGAGTGGGTACTTAGTCTTAATCCTCATTACTTCGTATATCTTTGTTTGCTTTCGTGAAAATTGATATTGTGCTTGAGTTGGTTGGAGAAAAAGATTGAATCTTTGGA